CCAATTGGGAGGGATCCAGCCTTGCTGGCTGCAGCCCGCCCTCCCTGCAACTGAGGGTGACTTGCCTTTACTGAATTCAAATAAACCTGTGGTTTCTCTTGGTCCATCTGCCCCATATTGGTTCCTGGGGAACTGCAGCAACATCAGTAGTCTTAACAGTTGTCTTCTCTGAGTTTCTCCTGTCAGGCTGCAAATAGTTCCCCAGGACTGTCTGGAGAAGCAGCGTCAGCCAAGTGATCGGAGGGGTTGCGGGTGTCTGCAAGCAGCACAGCAGAGCTGTTATGCAGTAGGACTATATGAAATGGGGGCGAGAGGGAAATAAGCGTGAATGGCGTGCTACTCCCCCTTTGGAGCCACTTGCAGTCATGGGCTTGGTGCTTCCACTGACAGTAATGACCTGGCCTCAACACAAGGGTTCCAGCCCTCCTCCTTGCCCCTCTCCGACTGAACTTTGTCATAATAGTCAGGTGGGGTGTGGACAGATGTCACTTCTTTTCACCAGGGGGCCAGCTCTTTTGTGCTCAGTTTGCATTTGGCAAGGCTGTCTGCACTCAGGAGTCTGTGCTGGGGGTGTTGGGGCTTTGGGGCTTCGGGAGGTCGCAGGACCACTGGGGCGGGCATTTCCTTCCTTCCTTGAGAGCCTGGCCTTGAGGCAGGTAGAGGAAGATCTGCTGTGGCTGTGTGCCTCTGGTGGCCTCCTCATCCTCAGGGAGCACTCTGAAGACTGTGAATAGGAAAACAAAGCCTAAGGCTCATAGTATAGCAGGGGATCATTTTTTTGAATGATGGCAGTCCTTTATTAAAAAAAAATGAAAACAAAAATGAGGTGAAACTTGCATAACATACAATGAACTGTTTTAAAGATATAGGTCAGTGCACTTAGCATGTTCGCGTGTTGCAAGCAGCAGCCCTGTCTAGTTTCTGAACTTCGTCATGGACCCATAAACACATCCTAGGTAATCACTTCTCCATCCCCTCTGCCATCCCTGGGACCTCTAAACTCTAGCTCTGCGGATGACCTACTCAGGATGGAGCTTGTCAAAGGATTCGTGAGCCCAGCGATTCTTGATTGCATGTGAGCCTCCTTTCCAGCAAAGATACCCTCTCCTCTCCCAGCTGAGCACCTGCTCCTCACAAGCAAGGTCCCCAAAACAGCAAATAGATAAGCAAAACTGTCCAAGAATCTTGATGCTTCTGTGGATTTCCAGTAATGCGGTTTGGTCTGGAATTATCACTGTACTCGTGAAAAGAGCCCTGTGTAGTGAGCTGGCATGAGTTTGGGGATGGGAAGAGCAGGTGTCCATGGCAGTGAGGAGGCAGGAATGTCCCAGGTGTGCAGCGGTCTCCTAAGGCTGCTGGGAAGAGGACCCAAATCTGCGTGGTTTAGAGTAATAGAAAGTTACCGTCTCAGTTCTGGAGGCCACGAGTCCCAGTTCAAGGCGTCAGTAGGGCTGGCTCCCTCAGAGGCTGTGCGGGAGAACCTGCTCCCTGTCTGTACCCCCAGCTTCTGCGGGGCTGCTGGCAATCTGGGTTCCTTGTCTTGTAGATGCATCACCCCAGCTGTGCCCTCACCTCCACAGAGCCTTCTCCCTGTGTGCTTACCTCTGTGTTTACATCCCCCTCGCTAGAGATGCCAGGTGTAAGGGGTCAGGGCTCACTCTAATGACCTCATTTTGACTTGCTGACCTCTGAATAAGAGAAGAAAAGTCAGAGGGATGGCCTTAGGCTCCACATGCCTCATCAGGAATTCACCCCTGTAACTAAGGTGTTCCAGAAAGAATCAGCTGGTCTTCAGCACATATGACGTGCAAAACCACACACTTGAAGGGGAGTAGGAGACTGATTCTCCAAAGCTCCATCTGTGAGGATAAAGGCCTCACAGACTGAATCAGGACTAATGTTTCAAATGCCAGAAGCCCTATTCTAATTAGCTTTTGGTTGGGGGAGGGATTTTGGCTCACATAAATGAGAATTCCCGGGGGTGGATTTGACTCTGACTCTAGCTTCAGGCAAGAATAGGTCACTAAGTCGAGGTCTTCTTGGGGAGTCAGGGCTCCCCTTCTCTCCATCTCATGGACAAGGTGATCAATACCCCAAACTCACCCACCATCCAGGCAATGCCAGTAGAAGGAGACTGACTCTCCTCCTATAGCTCTGCGGGGAAAGTCATGTGATTCCCCCAGCTTGGATCCTCAGATCTTGGGATCACCTCTGAGCCAGTGACTGTGGGTAGAGGACTCATGCTTCATGGCCGGACCTTGGTCACATATTCATGACTCTGCAGATTGGGCAAGGCAGTTTTATCTGAAACATCTGGAATAGATGCCTCACAGGAAAATGGGATCTTTGACCCACAGATAGAAGAAGGGGCTGGTGGTTTGACTAATTGGCTGTGATTGCAGACTCTGGGCCCCAAGAGGGCTGGAGTTGGTTTTTTGCCTACTGTACTGAGCTCCTAATAGGTTCTCAATAAAACTTGATCCAATCAGAATGAATTGACAAATCAAGAATTGTTTGCTCAAAATGTGGGAGCTGGGAAGTGGTGAAAAATACTTAACCTGTGGTTTTGAGACAGTTCTGGAACTTGTACCCTTGTCCTTAGGCAAGTTGATTAGTCTTAAGGAAGGTAGAACATTGCCAATCACAGAGCTACTTCAACTTCTGAGTTTTTCTTCTATCCTTTTGAAGAACCTTGAAGGCATAACTTGTGTTTGAAGACAAAGGGACTTTAAAGAGTTTTGGAAAGAGGCCTCCGGGACTTGGGGAGTGATGAGGAGCTCTTAGAAGACATCATATGGGTAAATGAAGTGTAAATTAATGTGAAAAATAAGCTTTACCTTTGCTTGGAAACATACAGGTTTGGAAACCCAAGGGGAGACAGATTGCATGTGGTCAGCACGCACTCCCAGAAGGAAAGTGCTTGAAACATAATTGGGGGGCTTGTGCCAAACCTGATCTGTGTTTGCTCTTTCCTGGACAAAGTGCCAGCTTGCCTTTGTGCTAATCCCACTTCAGTGACAGTCCTTGTTTCTAATAGTATTATCAGCAAATACTATTTCTGTGGATATTAAAATCTGGCTTTGTGGTGTTTGGGTCTCTATATGATTTTCAACTCATTGCATGTTGCCTCAGGCCTCAAGGGTGAAGCCAGTGGTCAGTGAACCCTGGCAGGGTCGGTTATGGTGGTCATGACCTGTGGCTCTGGGGACACAGACTCACAGCTGGCTCGGTTGATGGCAGCTGTGCACGGTGTGCGCAGAGTGCCTGGTCCCTGCGGCAGCGTGCTCAGAACTTTAACACAGTGCTCCTCAGACTTCCGAGGCTGTGGCGTCAGCTGAGGTTGTTTTTAACTTGTGGATTCTGATTTGGTAGGTCTGGGCTAGGTCTGAGAGGCAGCCAGAGTACTAGTCTGAGGAGCACCTTTGATGGCATGAATCGAGACCCGCTGCCCCTGATACCACTTGGAGCAAAGGCTCATCCCCTCTGTCATCCATCACTGCCATTGCCTCTGGTATCCTCCTTCAAGCCCCTTGGATCAAACCCACAGCTGCTGTGGCTTCAGCCTTGCCTCCATGGTGTCTGGGTTAGGAGGGCGACCTGTCTAAAGCACCATGTTAACTCTAGGTCAGGAGCTGGCAAGGGTTTCTGGCTTCATCGTCCAGACAGGGATGCCGTGGGCCCGGCCGCAGGTCAGGTCCGGGGAAAGACCTCCAGGTCCACTGAGTACTCCTCCCCTTTATCTTCCTCCTCACTCTTCTTCCCCCGCCTGTCCTTTCTTCTGAGTGTCCTTTGCTTTCATAATTATAAAAATAATAGAGCCTATGTGAATTAATGAAAAGGGTTAATTTGTACGGGGAAGAGAATCAAGTCAAGGGCAGACATCTCCCAGACCCCGAATCTCAGTCCCCATAAGCTACAGTGTTAATATAGTTGGGGTGCCCCGGCTCCAACAACAGAAACCTCAGCCCCCTGGCTTAGTGGGGCAAGGGAATTCGATCTCTCATGTGATTGGAAGTCCCAAGGGAGATTGATTGGGCTCCAGGGTGGCTCCAGTAACTCCTGGTGCTGGTGGGGTTCTCTCTTCCTCTACTCTGGAGAGATTCTCTCTCACTCCTCTGTGCCATTAAAGTCTTTCTCTTCAATCTGGACCAGTGAGAGTGGCCAGGGCGTGCTATGCTCTGACTGGTTGAACATATATTTTTTTAAAGTTTTTAAAAAAATTTTTTTTATTTATGATAGTCACACACACACAGAGAGAGAGAGAGAGAGAGAGAGAGAGAGGGAGGCAGAGACACAGGCAGAGGGAGAAGCAGGCTCCATGCACCGGGAGCCCGACGTGGGATTCGATCCCGGGTCTCCAGGATCGCGCCCTGGGCCAAAGGCAGGCACCAAAGCGCTGCGCCACCCAGGGATCCCACTCTGACTGGTTGAAACCTCTCATGCTGGACCCCTGAGCTGAGATGCGAGGTCTGTTTCCCAGAAGCATTGGAGTGATTCCCAAACCACACAGAGTTTCTGTTAGGAAGGATAGAAATGGACTGAATGTTGGATGAGTAACTAATAGTGTGCACCATACTTTCAGGGCTTTCCATGTATATATACAGTTGTGATATTTGTTCACTCATTCATTCCTTAAGTGTCAACAGTTTGCCAGGTACATAGGTTATCCCAACTAATACTAAAAGTGAGGGAAGTACCTTTCTTCCCTGTTTAAGGGTAAGGAATCTAGGGCAGAGACTGCTCCAGTGACTTATCCAAGGTCACACAGCACTTAAGTAGAGGAGAGGAGATTTGAACCAGGCATTCTGGCTCTAGGCCCATCTCTACCACTGGCTAATTTTGATTCCTGGGGTGCTTTTCGACAGTTGGTTCTCTCACCTCTGTGCATATGTTAGAAGCTGGAGATTAGGTTGTGTCTCTGCACCAATCAGGCAACTAACAGAGCCACCACAAGCAACAGAATTACGTGAGTGAATTCAGAACCATATTTCTGTCCCTAGATCCAAATAACTATTACCACCGACGGAATGAAATGACCACCACCGATGACCTGGATTTTAAGCACCACAACTATAAGGAAATGCGCCAGGTAAGCTCCAGATTTCTCAAAGTATTATACCCTGTGCCCAGGGGAACATAGTTGTTTTTGTTTTAGTTTTTTTTTTCTTTCTAGAAATTAAGATCATGTGTTTGGAATAGGAATCTGAATGATCATTTTGGTTTTCTGAAGCCACAGTACATGCTTGCAGTTTCTAGGTTGAGAATGCCTCGTTGGGGTTCTGGTGGCCAGAGGAAGGCTTCCTCTCTGGAAAATGGTTGAAACAGAATTTGGACCAGACTTTTCCAATTTAACACAGTAGTGGTGAAGATTCGCTGTATGCTTGAGCGATAACACTGACTTGAGAATGTTCGTCACAAGCAGAGTGAAAGAAGAAAGAGGATCTAGGGCACCACCGATAAAAGTAATAGCAGGAAGCCTCCACGTAGGACCATGTTAATTTGCTACGTTGGCAGTTTACCTGCATCAACGTGGTCAGTCCTCCTAACCATCCTAGGAGGGCAATGACTATTTCCTTACCTTATTGATGAGGAAGCCCAGGTACCAATGAGATTCAGAACACTAGGCCTTATTATTCACTGATTCTCCATCTTGGTTGTAGAACAGAATCACCTGGGCAAACTTGGAAAAATATCTATCCTTGAACCCCATTTCAGGCCGCTGGTTAAAAGCAGGATCCTTAGGAGAAGGGCCTGGATGTCTAAATGTTTAAACGCTCTCCTTGTGTTTCTAATGAATAGCCAGCCAGGCCTCAGAACTACTGCTTGATACCTTTGGTACTTTAGTGCCGTTAGGAGCAAAAGTCAATCCCAGCTGAGACTGTCCCCAGATTTAGTTACAGAAAGCACGGAATTCCGGGCTGTGGACAGTGTTTGCATACTGGGCCCAGAAGGGAGCAGAGACCAGCCGTTTATTAGGGCAAGCTAAAAGAGCCATGCCTGTGCCGAGTGCTTTGCCCACAAAATCCTGTTCAGCCTTTGCCCCCAGCGTGGTGCTAGGAGAGCTCAGGGGGCGCTGACAAATGAGAAATCCTTGGATACCTGAGAATCTGTTTGAAATGACAGAACAGAGAGATGTCCTCACAAATGCATTTACAGAACAAGGATTCACCAAGGGCAGATTGACAAGGCTCAAAGCAAGGGCTCGTGGGTGCTGAGAGAAGGAGCCAGCTGCCCAGTCCAAGTGCAGGAGACGCTCATGAGGGCAGAGCAATTAGGCTGAGCCGAGAGGCCTCTCCGCCTCATCCCAGGGAATCAACAAACCCAGTTTGTCTCAATGTCATTTAATTTGAGACACTCACACGGAGCCTGAGAAACCCGTCAGCATAGACTTAGCGGTGGGACATGCTAAAGAAATTATCTTGCTGTCTTGCTCTTCAGAAATCAGGATAATGTGTTTGGACCTGAGGTCGTTGAGTCATCCCTGCTGCTCTACATTCTCTGGCATTTATACGACTCTGCTCACCCTTCCATTTTACGGAGCACTTGTGTGTTAATTCAGCTTTGCTCACTAGCACATCTCGGGATATTTCTCTGAGCCCAGAAACTAGGCAAATATCAACTCAGCTGGTGCAATTAATGTCAAAAGCAATGAATCTAAATGCATTTAAAATGAGCTATCGCACAGAGAGTCTGGGTAGCTGGTAGCTTTAAATAGTCATTCCGTGTCGAAAATCGGGGTCCTTCCAGAAAAGGAGAGCTAATGGAGTGTACTTCATTACCCTGGGCAACTCTGCTCACCATCACTTGGTGATGTAGAGCCAAGAAGGCACTTGGACTGGTTGGTGCAGCCCCTGCAGATGATGGCGGGTGACCTCAGGGCTCCGCAGCACTCAACTGGAAACCATTCAGGGGAGCATCTCTCAATCCTGAAGGGTGTTCAAGCCGGAAGTGATTTGCCATTTGGATTCCTGGCTCCTGGGGATGAAAAAGAAGCCAGCATTTTTAGCAATTCCCCGTATGGAGTCTGCTGGGTTACTATAGAAATCTTTCTACTTCAGAAAAAAAAAAATGTTAGTTTATCCTAGTATCAAGAGAGACATTTCCAACAAACAACAAAAAAAAAAAAATGAGAAACAGCAGCAAGAAGAGTGAGGAGAAAATAGAAAAACATATTGCATGGGAAATGCTGAGAATGTGTGCAGGAAATATTTCTAGAGCACTGACTTGTAAGGGACTGTTCTCCCCTGGCGGGGGGCTGGGGGCGGCCAGCAGGTGGCATTGGAAGGGAAAAGGAGAACAAAGAGCAAGTTGCACATCACCGGTGTCGTGGGGCCGAGGGAGTCGATCCCTCCAGGAGTGCTGCAGCCTTCACAGCATGTGTCACCGTTTCTAATTGCTGTGTCACCTCTATGTCTATATACATCTCCTTCATTTGGGACCATGAGGGCAGAGACTCTGTCATTTTGTCATAAACCTGTAATGTGTGCTGGATAAATATGTACATCCGAGGTCCTTCCTGGGGAGATACTTGGGGGATAAGTAGGAAGAAGTGATTGGCCCTTTGGTCCCGGGTGGGGAAAGGCATTGGTTGCAGATGGGGTCTACTATGGTCTGGGGCCTTTGGCCAGCCTTGGGCAGGTGCAGATAGAAGGGAGGGTCCCCCCAGGCAGTAAGAATAAAGGTATGGAGGCAGGAGCAGAATAACATGTTTCTGGAGAGGAGACTTACCTGAGTGCCGGGAGAGGCTTTAAATGGAGTCTAAGAATCTGAGAAGGTTTTTAGGTTGCAGAGCAAGTGTTTTGGGGAGATCAGTCTGGAAGGAATGCGGGGAGTGGACTGGCAGGGATGGTCACAGTCCCCAGGAGAGGAGCCACCAGGCCTGAAGAGAGATGAGAGGTGGGGGGCATCTCTGGGGAGGACTGGCTAGTCCTAGATCACCTGTTGGAATGAGTGGGGAGAGAGAGGGAGGTCTGGGATGTTTCTGAGGAGGGTGGGGTACCGTCCACAAAGAGAGCAAATTAAGTGGTTTTGAGGAAGAGGTTTGTGACTTGACTTTGGTGGTAGGACTGTGAGGGCACGGTGCCCAGGAAGTTGGGGTTGGCTGGTGCTAAGTAGGGTGGGGGGTGGAGACATGGGTTGAAGGCAGCCAGCTCATGGTGCTAATTTCCAGGGCAGTGCAGGAGGGTCAGAGGCACCGGGCAGTGGGGTAGTGGCTTAGCCTGCCTGGGAGTGGGGGGTGATGGTGGCAAGAAGCCAGGGCAGGGCAGTCAGCCTGTAGACCTAGACGAGCCCACCTCCTCCCCACCCCTGGGAGGCCTCCTTCCACCATCCTCGCCTCCCGCCCTCTGAGATCCCTTCTCCACGGGACCAGATGCAGTCCCTGCTGCCAGGCCAATGAATAAAGGTGGTGGAAAGGGACTTTTCCTCTTCCTCCCACTCTTTTAAAAAACATTTTAATTCGTTGGAGAAACAATGTTATGTCAACATCAAGCACAGGCCCAAAGTCCTAAGGTCAGCCTTCCCGAAACCCACCACCCTCAAGAATCAGCCATTTGCATTTCTCATCGTTCCTGTCCAGGATTTCAATTTCTGCATTTGAAGGATTCTTATAATTTTGATCAGAGGGTGGTTATAATTTTGCCCTGCTCCCCTTGGTTAATATTGGATGATGAGCCATTTTCCATGCTGTCCTCATAGTTGTAATTGTGATGCTGCAGAACGTCCCAGGGAGCGGATAGAGCATCTTCCCCATCTCTTCACCATCTCTTACCCCACTACCTTCCTGCCCTGGAGCACCTGGACATCTCTGAGCTTAGTGCCCCTGGGGAAAGGGTGAAGCACCACAGCAAATGCCATCATGCATGTAGTTGTAGCATCCTTTATGCAGAAACCCCTTCCTGTAGATTGCCAGAAACTGAATTACTAGAGAAGGGGCTCTGTTTCTCTTTCCTGCAACAGAGCCTAGGATTTAGTAGATACCACGTTGGCAATAATTCCCATCTGGGAATTATGGAGACAGAGTCTTGATGAGGCTCAGACTCTGCAAACCCAGGCATTTTCTAGATGATTGTTCTCAACGTGGTTTTGTCATCACCTACTCATCCCCCAAGAGGCTTTTTAGATACTTTCTTTATTATTCTCTACCCATTATATTAAATATTAACGAGTAAGATTTTATTGGGTAGGGCTGAGCTTTGGAGGGCCACAAAGCACTGTGCTATGTGAGACTTCTAGCTCCTGACAACCAGTTTTCACCTCCTGGGGATGATTGTCGCTCCTGCTGAGAATGCACGTATTTTTTTTTAAGATTTTATTTATTTATTCATGAGAGACACACAGAGAAAGGCAGAGACACAGGCAGAGGGAGAAGCAGGCTCCCTGTGGGGAGCCCGATGCGAGACTCAATCCCAGGACCCTGGGATCATGACCTGAGCCAAAGGCAGATGCGCAACCTCAGAGCCACCCAGGCGTCCCTGAGAATGCATGTTCCAAGGCCAGGAAGAAGTTCTAGTCCTTACTGTCACCTTAGCCATCAAGACTGCAACTCCAATAAGACATCTTTGACTCTTTTCAGGAATCAGCCAGGTGGATCACTGGCCAGGTCCTTAATGGGGTTGGTGGCCACAAGAGAAACCTTCCTGGCATTTCAGAGAGAATTTCTCTCTGTGTAGAGAGAACCATAAAGAACCTTCATAAAGGAGATTCCTCAAATGCCTGTGTCGTCAATCTCATGTGTAAAGGTGCTCATGACACCCCAGGACAAGGAGGGAATGTGGCTGGTAGGAAAACACTGCGATGGGTGGGGTATGAAGAGGTGACTGGTAAGTCATGGCTGAGGCCATCCTATACCAAGAGGTGTGTCCACGGCTGAGTGTGCATCCAGCAGGAGGCGGAGTTTGTTCTTCTCCAGTGTCGAGGTCATGAGCTCTAACACAAGTGGCATGTTGCTCCTATGGCTGATTGGACAGAAGAGGAGGGTTGACTTTAAGTGACAGCCAGCCTCTAGTGTGGGAGGGTTGTGTTGCCTAGTTAAGGATGATGCAAGTGGCTATGTCTGCAGAACCGGTTGTTGATCCAAACCAAGGCAGTGGATCACCTGCTGCTCAGGATCTGCTGAGGTTGATGCTGTAGATGAGGATGACAGCAGTCTGCAGGGACTGGGATGTGTGACCCCCCCACCCTCCCGTCAGATGGTGATTGTGCTGTGGCCGTCTTCAGAATGGTCATGGTGCGCAGCTGACAAAATGAGCAGCAGAGATGTGCTGGTGTTCATTGCTTTGCTGCATCTTCACAGGCAGAGAAGAGCCCTGAGTCCAAAGCATCTGGTATCAGCTGGATGACCCTGGGCAAATCACTCAGTGACTCTCTGAGCCTCAGTCTCTATATCTGTAGAATGGGGACAGTCACCTTTGGCTTACCTCCTCCACCTGGTCATCATGTCAGTGAAATTCAGTGAAGAAATAGAGTGTGTGGCTAATGCAATTGTTGGCATTATTAGTGACATTATTATCTTGTCTCTTGGGAAGATGTGGTGCTGTGCATGTGGCCCTGCTTCAACCCTGCAGCCTGTACGTGCCCGTCATGGAGACGGGCGCCAAAGCTATGGTTCCCTTGCATGCCGTCTCTCCACGGATGGTGGATTTCTGCTTTTGCTCTGTTTCAGACAAGAGTCCTTTATAGTCAACTCCCCGCTTCCTCCCAAGGGTAGCCTGTGCTCCTGTGACTAGCAGAGCCCTCCTTACCTCCTTTTGGCAGCTTGTGTCACCCCCTCAGACCAAAGCTGTCTGTCTAACGAACTCAACTTTAAATGAAAATTCAGGAAATAACACATATCTAATTTGACTTCTTCGTCAAAGCCTGTTCTCCCCACCCGTTCACCACATGACCTCCCATTACCATGGCTTCCCTCCACCCTCTTACTCAGCACCGGTGAATTGGTCATCAGATTACTCCCCTCTGTTGCTGCTCTGTAAGCTCCAGGAGGGTGGGAGCAGTGTCTTTCCTCCTCCCAACATCAAAGATGTTTATTAAATGATGAGAGAAAGTTGATATTCAGTAATAAATATTTATTTAGGCAGAGTTATGGAGAAGTCTCAGTCTGTTCCTTAAAGGATCTGTAGTCTAGTGAGGAGACAAAAAGAAAACAGAAAACCACAGTAAAAAGGTAAGACCACAGCCAAGGGAGGTGAGACCACAGCCAAGGGAGGTGAGACCACAGCCAAGGGAGGTAAGACTACAGCCCAGGGAGGTAAGACCACAGCCAAGGGAGGTGAGACCACAGCCAAGGGAGGTGATAATCACGACCTAAGGAGAACATTCCAGGCAGAGGGGATAGTGCTGGTGTGTGGGGAGGGTGAGGGTATGCAGGGGGGCTATGGGAGGGGAACAGCGGGTGGCTATCTTGGGGGCTCATCATGACTTAGAGCCTCAACTCCATTTTGGTTTTCAGTTGATGAAGGTTGTGAACGAAATGTGCCCCAACATCACCAGAATTTACAACATTGGCAAGAGCCACCAGGGCCTGAAGCTGTACGCCGTGGAGATCTCCGACCACCCGGGGGAGCACGAAGTCGGTGAGGTTACCCCTCTGTGATGCATCTGGTGCCTTCTCACAGAGCCAGGAGACAGCTCACTCATGTGAGAACATTCATGAAACAGGCCGGGAGCTCTCCACACACCACTCTCACGTAGACAGATTCTGCAAACCTTGGTTCTGTGAAGCTCTTACCTCGTGATAAGGGCTGTTGACTCATTTAAGCCAGAGACACCTTGCTTTTCTCCAAATGAACCACATTTAGTTCTGTTCTCCAGCTCTTGGGCCAGTCACACTGACCAGAGACGGTCAGGACAGAATCCTTTTATAGAAGAACATTCTGGACATAAGTCATTAATGGCTTCAGTGAGAGGGACATCCCCTAAATTCCTCTTTGATTTAATTCTGTTTTCGAGCATCTCCTATCTTCAGCCATTTCTCATTCACTTACTCCCAAACCTGGATCTTCTTCTGGGTCAGAGAAGATTCTCTGGTTTTCTTTTGGGTAAATCTGCGAGTCCTTTAGAAACCCACTGATATAAAAACAAAACAAAACAAAAAAGGAAACCCACTGATATTTAAACATGTCTGAGATTTGTCTGCTTCATTCAGCTCTACATTTGCCAGTATTTCAGCAGTTCCTCTTAGGGTTTTCCTTGAAAGGGTCAGGGTTTCATCTGCAGGTAAAATCACATTTCCTACGTTTGCCAGGGAGAGAAGAGGTATTGTTGGTCTGTACTGAGCGTGATAAGCCCCGATGCTGGAAAAGCTGAGCCTGGAAGAGGAAAAACTCAAAACTGTGTCCATCCTGATGTCCCCTGCTGAACTGTTTTCTGCTTCTCTTTATCTATCCTTGTGTCCTTGAGAGATTTAATAGGACCTTCTTTTGAGAAGAATGATTGCCTCCCAAAAGAGAAAAATAATTGCTATGGCTTGTGTTTAATTTGTAAACTTTAAACCCTAAACACTGTGTTCCTTTATCCTTGCTAAATAAGAATAAACATGATTACCCAGGGGCTAGTATCATCCAGATTTTTCTATACACTTTATTGTTTTCTTTTCTTAAAGATTTTATTATTTATTTGACAGAGAGAGAGAGAGAGAGAGAGAGAGAGAGAGAGAGAAAGCAGGGGGAGGGGCAGAGGGAGAAGGAGGAACAGGAAACCTGATGCAGGGCTTGATGGCAGGACCCCAGGATCAGGATCATTACCTGAGCTGAAGGCAGCCACTTAACCAACTGAGCCACCCCGGCACCCCTACACATTTTCTTACATACCTATTTGGGAATTTAGGAAAATTGTAGTGATATAATTTGGGGGGCCTCTGTAAGAAGAGGCAGGATAAAATTGTAAATTTATATTACTCAGAGATTTTTTTTCTAAATGGTGAGGGCTCTGCTGCTAGAAGAAATAGATATGACCCTGTATTGTAGTGACATAATTTGGGGGGCCTCTTTGTAAGAAGAGGCAGGATAAAATTGTAAATTTATGTTACTCAGAGATTTTTTTTTCTAAATGGTGAGGGTTCTGCTGCTAGAAGAAATAGATATGACCCTGTATTTCTTCCTGTCTTCGAGTAAAGGTGAGCCGGAGTTCCACTACATCGCGGGGGCCCACGGCAACGAGGTGCTGGGTCGGGAGCTGATGCTTCTGCTGATGCAGTTTCTGTGTCAGGAGTACTTGGCTGGCAACGCCCGCATTGTCCGCCTGGTGGAGGAGACCCGGATTCACATCCTCCCCTCCCTCAACCCCGACGGCTACGAGAAGGCCTACGAAGGGGTAATGATACCGCTCCCCATGCCCGGGGCAGCACTTAGGCCCCCAGAGCAGAGCACGATCGGCCACAAGTTGATTTCTGTTCCATATCACTGGCTTCCCTTTGAGTGTCTCTCTGCTGAGACAGGGAAACCCATAGGGTTTATGAAAGATGCAAAGTGGGAATTGAGAATAGTGGGCACCCAAGAGGTGGACATCCAACAAACTGGAAAAAGTGAACATGGAAGAATAATATGGGTTGCATTTTCAGTGATTCACAATAGAATAGAATAAAAAGAACACTGAACATTGATCGAGCACATAATCAAGGCAGGCCCTCAATTCAGTTATTGCCTATAATCCTCTCAGTGCTCCAAGAAGATCTGTTTTTATTATTCTTGTTTTTCAATTTCTTTAAAGATTTTTATTTATTTGTTCATGAGAGATACAGACAGGCAGAGACATAGGGAGAGGGAGAAGCAGGCTCCTTGAGGGAGCCTGATGTGGGACCCGATCCTGGGACTCTGGGATCACACCCTGAGCTGAAGGCAGATGCTCAACCACTGAGCCACCCAGGTGCCCCTGTTTTGATTATTCTGATATATTGTTTACATTTCATGTTCTAATTATGACATAGAATTTGTGCAGGTCACAAGTATGTATAGACTATTATTAGTATTAAATGGGAATAAAGTGGAAAACTGTACTTGGTACCTATCACACACAAACCTTATAATACAGGATTTTGGTTGTGTTTATTGGCACAGAGTTGGTTAGGGATTTCCAGTGCCTGATCTGCCAGGCCAGGGGGCAGGGGTTTGTGAGCCAGACTCGTGGGCATGGCAGGGAGAATGCGTTAATGTGGTGGTGGTTGCCTTTGCAATGCTGGGCTATTAGATTCATTCCTACACCAAGTTTCATCTAGCCTAGAAGCTCTCAGTGGAGGGAAGAGGAGGGAAGGGATGTAATACTTCTTGAGCACTGCCCTGTGCCTGGAGGAATGCTCTGCATTCCCTCTTGGAGTGATTTGGCGGTGTCACCCACCACCCACCAAGTAATAATACTGGGTGCCATCTTTGGGCCAGAAGACGTGTGGGGCTCAGAGACACACCCAGATGGGGATGGTGGGCATGGAGACAGAAACGTCTTATGTGAGAGAAGTCTGGAAGCCCATAGGTCCCTCACATGTGGAATTGTCCCCCAGGGCTCAGAGCTGGGTGGCTGGTCCCTGGGGCGTTGGACGCATGATGGCATCGACATCAACAACAACTTTCCTGACCTAAACACGCTGCTCTGGGAGGCAGAGGACCGACAAAACATCCCAAGAAAAGTTCCCAATCACTACATTGCGATCCCTGAGTGGTTTCTGTCTGAAAATGCCACGGTGAGTAAAAATACCCCATCATCTGCAGAGCAGTGGAAGGCCAAAGTTAACACCCACTGGTATTTGCGGAGGATCTGACATTTAAGAACAAGACAAAACCACTTTTTCCTTTCCTGTTTTCTCCCAAAGTGGGGAAGTGTGCTAGATAATAACTACCTTAAAGCCAATATTTGTGGCTATTCTTCATAAGAGAGAGATCATTGAATTAGGTTTCTTCACAACCACACAGGGTTTCAGAAAAAACACAGAAAACCAAAAGCCCTGCCCTGGAGTTTTGCATGTTGGTTACTGTAGTTCCTTAGTACCTTCAGCATTGCTAGTGCTATGGACTTGCTATGAAATTGTCCTTAGACCCTACTCATTGCTTGAGAGATCTTATTTTTATTTTAAGAAGCCCCTGTGGATTATTACATGTTGTGCTGCTTTGGAAGGAGAAAAAAAATGCATTGAATGAGAAAGGTTTCCCCCAAATTTTCTGGTCTTCTTTTGCAAAGCCTGTGTTGTGGGAGAAATAATTTTCACGATATTTTGCATGCCTTTTATTGCCTCCCCTGCCCATAGTCACCCACCTCTTTACCCCTGACCTCTGATTGTATATGTCCTTCAGGAGCTCTGCCTCGATTGCTTATGTGAGTTAGGGTTAGGTTCAGTGGGAACAACAGGAAAACCAAAAGGACAATAGCTTGATGAGGTAGAGGCTTATTTATTTTCACATAGAAGAGCCCTGAAGGCAGATGATGGGAGCCTGGCCAAGCAGAAGCCCCATGAGCATCAGGAATCGATAACTCGTGTATCTTTCTACCTCTGCCATGTTAGCATGTGACTTCCGTTCTCAAGGTCAAAATCCAAGATGGCAGTGGGTGCTCCAGCTGTCATGTCTATGAAGGAAGAGGGGAGAAAGAGTTGAGAAAAAAGAAAACAAAAAAGAAAATCCCCCTCTTAGACAATTCCATGAAGAGTTATTCCTAGATTTCCTACATAAGACTTATGCTTAAACCTCATTGGCCAGAATTTAGTCAAAACATGCTATCAACCCACTGCGGCGAAGGCTGGAAAATACTGTGTTTTAGGCAAGCACATTGCAAGCTCAAGAAAATAAAAATAAAAGTAACTGGCTTCTTTTTTCTGAGGAATCAAGGGAGAAATAATGAATGGATAGAAGGCAGCTCCCGCGCTCTGCCTGGGGACTCCAGCCCACTGCATGCATGGGTACCACTTACTGGAGGAAGGCCAGCATGTTTGCCTCAGTTAGTTATGTGCAGGATGGTGTTATCCAGGCCCTCAGGAAGCAACCAGTCATGTGATACAGATAGACAGTGGCATTATCTGTGGTGTAGTTAGGGTGCCCATGGGCAGCTTGCGGAGTAGGGTTCAAGACCTCTGAGTCTTCTGCATCCTGTCTCATATTTTCTAATTCTATCCTATACAATCCCCGCCCCCCCCCACTTTTCTTTCAAGTTAGCATACTAATGACATCTGAGAAAGCTCAGAATTCAAGTGATGTTATAATTTGGGAACTCTTGGACCAGAATTGGAATATGGTTGTCAGTGTTCTTGGCCCTGAGGCTATGAGAAATAAGGAATTGTTCCACATGATCGTAGAGCGTCCTTGGATATCAGTCTTTCCTTTAAGACTACAATTTAGCTTTCTGATCTTGTTTTTTGGAAACACTGGAAGAATTACACAGATCTGCTCCCTCTAACACCTTTTTCAGGTATGGTTACATTAGATAAGAAGTCAGCAAAGATAAAGACGTGACTAGTAGTCAACAGGCTTGACAGGGATCTCTAAGAATTTCACAACCACTAGGTAGGTAATGATATATTCTTCTGAGTAATCCTGGAGCATTTTCAAAAATTGATGATGCTCTGGGCTGTAAAGGAAATCTGAACCAGTTTCAGAGAATAACAGTCAGACTGCAATGCCTCACCAACATACAGTTCCACCAGAAGAGTGTAATAAGGTTAATGAAAATATCACCATGTCTTTAGAAAATTAAAAAAAAAACTTTTAAATAATGAGTCAAATTAAAAGATTTTACTGGCAACTAAAAAATAATTAGAACCCAACAGTAATGAAAAGATTGCATATCAAAGTTTGTGGAGTACCACAAAAACTCCTGTGTTCTCAGTAATTTTATACCTTGCCATGATTATATTCCAAAGAAAAAAGGTTAAATATTAGCTAAGGAAACTAGCAAAAGAATAACAGAAGAAACCCCTCAAAATGTATTAAAAAGATTGTGATCAAAAACTAAAAGCAGAAATAAACAGAATGATAGAAAAACCAAGAAAAAAAATAAAGGGATTTGTCTGTAGAAAGAATGATTTGCTAAGATTTAATAATCACTCCCAGTAAAATCTCTTAATGAAACTTTCTAATACATATCACTAGTTACAGGGTGAAGAAGGCTATTTTAAATGACATTAATCATAAAATAAAAGATTAATAAACTCAACTACATGGAAGTAGGAAAGCTTGCTCATCAAAAATTTAAAAACTGTAAGAGACAAGCTAAAAACTGAGAGAAGTTATTTGCAAATTAGGTAGTTGCAAAAGAAATAAAAGTTTAAAATACATAAAGAATAACAAATAAGAAAAATATGAACTGCTCCATAGAAAAATGTAGGTAAAAGATATGAAGAGGCAATTTGTGGAAGAGGAAACATGGTTAATAAACATGAAAATATGTTCAGCCTTACTAGTACTAAGGAATGCAAATAAGAGAACATTTTACACCCACTGGTTGGCAAATTAAGAAGTCTGACAGTAGCTGAGCATTGAAGAGGATATGGGGCCAGTGGATCGCTCATGCATTGTGGGTGCAAGTGTAAATTAGCACAGTGACTTTGGAAAATAATTTGATTATCTTGTAAAGTGGAATATGTGTATATCCTATGACTCTGCGGTCCCACTTCTGGTGGTTTATGCAAGATAAAGCAGCACTGTTCAGTACAGCAAAAAAATTGAAAATTACCTGTATGCCCACCATCATAAGGACAAATAAACGATGATATCTTCATAGTGAAGTAGAAAAGACTGAGCTACAGCTTTCTGCAACAACATGGATGAATCTTGGAAATATGAATTGAGAGAGAAAAGGGGCAGAAGACCACAATCAGTATGTCAGTATGGTTACCCCCCCCATTTTTAAATATCAAAAGCAAGTAAAACCAAATAATGTCTTTTTAAGCATACACATATAACAAGGGAGGTAAACAAGGTAAACAAGGGAGAAAGAGTGAGAACCATATCATCCAGGACACACTGGCTGCCTCCGAGTGGGAAGCAGGAGGATGGGACAGAGGGAATCACATATTACATAGAAATTATCCGTTAAATCAGGTTTTGGGCACAGATGGTAGGTTTACGGGTGTTTGTTGTATCAACATAGGGAAGACGACGAGCATGGACCATGGATGATACTGTGTAATGAGCCACGTTCTATGAGTAGTCCCATCCAGGGCCACTGATGTGTGTAGGAGTGAAAACAAAACTTAATGAATCCTATCAAGTCAATGTCATTCCTTAATCAACGTTCTATACTGCTCAGCTAAGCCATGTCCAGTGTTTGTTTCTTTTCCATTATCAGTTTTTGTTCTGCTGGAATTCTCTTCATAGGAATCAGAACTTAGGATAAATGATTGAATTTATATCAATATTTGACCATGGCAGGCTTTCTAATTTTGTACCTAAATTGTCCCTTCCTCCCTCCCTTCCTTCCTTTTTTTGCTGTCTTGTAACTTTTTATCATAAAAAATGCCGATCATACAGAATTGGAGAGAAAGCTTGCAGGGCCCCCGTGTGCCCATCTCAACTTCAACACCTTGTCAGCTCATGTTCCATCTACATTTGCACCCACTTTCTCCTCCCCTCCCAGAATTACTGAGGCAAATTCCAGAAGTGGTGTCATTTCATTGGCAACTATTTCCATATCTGAAAGCTCAGAGTCCCTTTTAAAACCATGAACAATTGCCATTATCATATCAAAATCAATTATTTCTTAGTATTATGAAATATCCAATCAGGGATCACATTTGCCCTATTATCTTTCTCTCTCTGTCTCACAGTTTGTTTTTTTTTTTTTTAAGATTTGTTTATTTGAGAGAGAGTGTGAGTGAGTGGAGGAGGAGCAGAGATGGAGGGAGAGAGAGAGAAAATCTCCAGCAGTCCCCCGCTGAGTGCAGAGACCTGACATGGGGCTCAATCTCACGACCCCGAGATCATGACCTGAGCCTAAATCAAAAGTCAGACACTTAATCAACTGAGCCATCAGTCGCCCCTCTTAGAGTTTGTTTAAACCAGGAGCCAGGGATCCCTGGGTGGCGCAGCGGTTTGGCGCCTGCCTTTGGCCCAGGGCGCGATCCTACAGATCCAGGATCGAATCCCACATCGGGCTCCCGGTGCATGGAGCCTGCTTCTCCCTCTGCCTGTGTCTCTGCCTCTCTCTCTCTCTCTCTCTCTGTGACTATCATTAAAAAAAAACAAAAACAAAACAAAACCAGGAGCCAACTAAAGCTCCCTTGTTGTGATGGGGTGTGTCCTCTTTCCAATCTCCTTTAACCTATAGCTTTCTCCTGTTTTACTTTCTGCCTCTTATCCTGGCAATCTTGCTGTTGTTCAGCTCATTGCGTATCTCAGAACAGCTGAGCTATAAGCCACTAGATTAGATCGTCTTGTAGCATTTTCCATTGTGTGAGCGCTGCCAAGCGTACTTTTGCCATGTCCTGTAACCTGTTCTTCTGTGTTTCCTGTAATTTTTGGCAGTGAGATTTAGACCAGACTAGGCTCGATGGAACAGGGGTTGTTGGCAAGCTGTAGCCCGTAGGTGGGCCACTTGCCGCCCAAGCTTGTTTGGGTAAGAGGTGTTTTATTGGAACCCAGCCCTGTTCATTGGTGTATTGTCTCCGGCGCTTCCTCTGACACAAGGACAGAGTTGAGTAGTTGGGACAGGGACCATGGTGCCCTCAAAATCTAAAGTATTTCCCATCTGGTCCTTTATAGAAAACAGCTGCCGACCCCTGGATTTTAGAGGCTTGGTCATATTCTGGGTGGATATTTCTCCTTTAGGTGTATGTTCTTCCCTCGGGAGACACATTACATTGGTTTTCTCTCTTTCTCTGCTCTTGTAGCCATGGATGAACAGGCCTGGCCCATTGGTTCATTGGCGTTGCCAAGTGTTGATACTCTAACTTGGTCTTTCCCTCTGAGCGTTAACTGGAGTATTCCTACAAAAAGAAACTTCTCTGGATTTCTCTCTGTCTTTTTAAATCCATGATCTGCATGAAGTCCAGTTTTCCTAGGACAGATATTGAAAGCCTACATTTTGCTAAAGTATTCCATGAAATGGTGGCTCTTCCAACTGTGCCCCTGTTTGGAAAGTAGAGAGAGAAAGCCATTTCCTTCCTATTTAATCTATCAGTGCATGTTTAAATTCACCATATTCACAGGTGGCAGTGGAGACCAGGGCTGTAATAGCCTGGATGGAAAAAATCCCCTTCGTCCTGGGTGGCAACCTACAGGGGGGCGAGCTGGTGGTGGCCTACCCCTACGACATGGTGAGGTCCATGTGGAAGACACAGGAGCACAGCCCCACACCCGATGACCACGTGTTCCGCTGGCTGGCCTACTCTTACGCCTCCACACACCGGCTCATGACTGACGCCAGGAGGAGGGTATGCCACACAGAGGACTTCCAGAAAGAGGACGGGACTGTCAACGGGGCCTCCTGGCACACTGTCGCCGGAAGTAAGTCTCTGGTGGCCTTGCTGTGGTGGAGCCAGATGGTACTGGACTCCTGGGCCAGTGAGGGACCCAGCCCTCCCTGATCATTTGTTAGGGGTGTAGTAGCAACTGTAGCCTGCCTTTCACAAGGCGCCGGCGCTCTGCATAGACTCCTCCTTGTAACTTCCCATAGTCTTGGGGTGTGTGGCTACTCCCTGTTTTATGAATGAGATCGTAGGGGCTTGGAGATCTGAAGCAGTTGCTCCAAACAAGAAGGGGGACAGAGCTGGGTCTCTGTGGCCCTGTGGCCGGCTCTTAGCCACTGAGCTATTCGGATTCTGTAGGGTCAGAGACAGTTTCTGTGGACCTGGAGGAAGTATGGGACCAAGAAGCAAACTGAGCAAAGGGGCAGAGAGCATGTGTATGTTGGTGCTGGGGCCAGGGTGTTTTTACCCAGAGCCATTCCCATCATGGGGATGTCCCATGCTGTAGGTCCCCAGAAGGGCTGGGTATATTGCACTTGGGTGTGAAGTGACTCCAAGCTGCAGGTGTGTCCTGAGGCTCGACGTGTGGTGAACACCGTTTCACAAATCTCCCAGCTGCTGGAGGTCAGCAGCCTGGCCTTCCAGGCAGATCAGAACATCTGGTTGGAGCCCGATTGTGTGCAATGCAGGAAATATGTGGTCTTGCTCCTGGCCTCCCTAAGGGACCAGAAAGGCCTGCAGCAGGGACTTCAGGAATTCCTTGCAGTAGCCACAGAGGACCCCAGGATCCCACTCAGGATTAGCTTTCTTTGCTGTGTCTGGGCCGCCCCCGCCCAGGGCTCCCCAGTGAGGAGGGAAGAGGATGTCACATTCCCTAAGGTCCCTCAGCTCTGGGATGGCAAGAGCCCAAGCATAATACTCATTGCTTTATTTTCTTGACTTTGTGGGGGTTGGTTAAACTACCAATGAATCTGAAAAATGTTCTATGTCAAACAGACCTAGATTCACAATTCAGTTCATCACTCGGATGCTGCATGACCCTGGGTGAGCTCCTTTCTCTCTTGGAACCCCATATTCTCCATTTGTGAAATGAGTATGATGGTAACAGTGAAGGTGGTGAGCCCTTTGTGACTGTCATGAGGCTCTCATGGGTGGTGGGTTTGGAATGTTCCCCAGCTAGCTTACCAGAAGCACACAGCTATGACCTGCTCCTACGTCCATCTTCGCCCCCCCTTCCAGTGGGATGCTCTCCATCACACCTCTTACTCTGTTTCCCTAAGTAGCCATCCTATTATTTCCCTTTGCTAGATTCAGCCTTCACATATTTTTCAGATATGTGTCTGTGCTTGGGGAAAAAAAATTAAAAGGTAGCAAATAGATTTGTGCCTATGGCCATGTTTTCACATGTACATTAAGCTTGCCATTTTTTTCTTGGCCACCTACCCAGCAGAGGTGTTTTATTTATTTTCCATCATAGTTTTGCCTTATGCAAAATAAATGCAAATCCCTGTCAATCAATATGATTTTCTAATGGCCAAAAACCATTCTTTCTTTGCAATTCTAGACCTAAACATCTGCAACAACCTTTATGTAAAATATTGGTTTATTTTTCATGACCACTCTGACTACGTTGGGTATAGACCAAGCTGGATTCATTGGCACCCAGTCAATAGTCACGTTCTGAAAAGTTGGCAGCCACATAATCACATAGGCAGCATTTGATTTTTTCCTATCAATTATGTTTTCCATTATTTCAGGGACTTTTGTGGCAGAGCCATGTGGCGGCTGGAGCCTTCTTAATCACTCTTCCTCCTGGCGGTGTGAGGAAGTGTGCAGATTCATCTCTTTGTAGATTAATGAAATGTGACTTCTGATTCCTTCCCTCCCCCTCCACCTCCGCTCCATCTTTTTGTTCGGTTCTTGCTCGCTCATTAGCTGTGAGTGACAAGGCGTTAGTTAATGGAGATGGGGCAGTTGAGAGCAGGCTTCGGGAAAGCTCAAAACACACATCATTTGTAGTGATGCCGGACCCCCTTTGTTCCTGGGCTGCCATCCCGTGTCCTCTACCATCCCATCCCCACAATGAAGCACACGCTGAGCTAGTGGTGGGTGCCTGGGTCTTAAGGAAGGCACAGCTCTGTGCTCCTGGAAGAAGCCTCCATGGTAGGATTCTAGACCAAGAGAGCACAGGGGAACATCTTGGCCCAGGTTGTGTGGGGGACTGTCTGGGTCACACCACAGCTCCTTCCCTACATGTAATGCTATTGAAGCCATTCTTCACCAAGTATTCTCAGCTCACCCCATTTGCTGTAGGACCAGAAGTCAGCAGCAAAGGTAGCCTGGTTCAAGCTTTTCTGCCCCCTTCTTCTGGCTTCTCAGCATTTCACTGATTCCTCTGGCACTTCTAGTGCTTTGAAGACACATTGCAAGGTGGCAGGCCTGCTCCAGAGTTTCTTATGTAACATTGATTTGTTTCCACACCAACAAGACCTAAAAGGTTGGGAATAATGAAAATTTTATGTGCACAGAGGCATCCAGCCATCTCAGTGTGTGCCACCTGTGCTAACTAGTGGACATGGTGTCCGTTGGCCATGTTGTGCCCTCTTGTAATTCCATACTTTGAGTTCAAGTGAATGAGTTGACATGGCATTTGACCAACCTTCTTCAACCAGACAAGGCCCCTGTGAAGGGTGTTTCATTAACATGACATGGTCCCACCCCTTTATACCACAGCTCTCTGTCCTTGTTTTATCACAAATGTGATCAAAGCCCCATCTGATGACATGTGAGTGGTTCAAATCTGGAATCCGCTAAAGAGAGTGGCTGTGTGTTTTGTACCATTTTGCCTGTGGCTTTAGCAATTAGGCAGAGATTGATACAGAACTACCCTTGACACCCAAAGCCGTAATTTTTAATCAGGTCTTTCCATTGGAGCAACATATCACTGAGCATGATGGTGAGGTAGGCAAGAAGGGGGGAAGACACATGCCGAGGGCTAAGGCTGGTTTGCGTGCAGGAGGACCTGCTCCTTTGCTCAGGAACCACAGAGAAATCCAGCACACCCAACTCTGCTGTCTTAGCCCTGACCCTCAGAACCCAAGGGAGTGGCTCGTGGAGGGGCCTCCTGCCAGGTGTGTGCTTCCTATGGTCACTCACAGCATAGCTGCACTGTGTTCTTGCTAATCACCCTGTTCCCCAAAACAAAAATGTTGGGAAGAACTTTATGCCACCTAACATTCATTTCTTCACTTTGCAAATTTTGGGTGCTATAATGGGGCAAATGTTGTTCCCACCCACCACCCCCCACAAATATATGTATGTACATATACATCTGCTTCCTAATCTCTGGAACCTGTGGATGTGACCTGGTTTGAAAAATGGGTCTTTGCCGGGATAATTAAATTAAGGGTCTCAAAGTGAGGTTATCCTGGGTTACCTCGATGGGCCTTAAAATCATTGACAAATGTCCTTATAAGGGACAGAGAAGGCCATCTGAAGATAGGATCTTTAGTGATGTAGCCACAAGCCAAGGAACACTAGGAGCCACCAAAAGCTGGAAGAAGCAAGAGAGCTTCCTCCCCTAAAGCCTTGGGAAAGAGCACAGCCCTGCCAACCCTTTGATTTCAGACCTCCAGACTCTAGAACTGTGGGAGGATAAATTTCTGTTGTTTGAAGCTCCCCAGTTTGTGATCATTTGTAACAGCAGCCCCAAGATGTTATCGCAGGACCAACTCCACACCAGGCTTGGCACTTCACATCCTGTTGCAGTAGTGTCAGGATGTGCGAGATCCATCTGCTCTCAGGCTCGGTCGGTGAGTGTGTTCACCCTGTGGCCTCCAAGCAGCCAAGCTCTGGAGATAAGAGCAAGGTCTTGTCTTGGCATCGCACACGCTGAGGTTCAAACCCTGACTCTGGCTCTTTCCAAACACATGGTTCTGGATACATATCCTAGCTGTTCTCTATCTCAATGTTCTTATTTATAAAGTTGTGCCATGCTGTCTGTCTCTCTGCTAAGTTTGTGGTCAGTGGTGCAGAGCACTAAGGACAGGTCCTGGCTCATGGGTGGCACTCAGCAAAGAGTGGTAGGTAGGGGTGGCTTGTGGTATGAATGAGAATGGAACACTGTTATAGAACTAGAGCTGAGAGCAGCATAACTATAGAGAGAAACTTTTTAAAAAATATTTTATTTATTTATCCATGAGAGAGAGAGAGAGAGAGAGAGAGAGAGAGAGAGAGGCAGAGACACAGGCAGGGGGAGAAGCAGGCTCCATACAAGGATCCTGATGTGGCACTCCACCCCGGGACTCCCGGATCATGCCCTGAGCCAAAGGTAGATGCTCAGCCATTGAGCCACCCAGGTGTCCCATATAGAGAGAAACTTAAACCCGTAGAATCCGTACTCTTAATTCATGGTAACTTTATTCTAAAAATAATGCATTAAACTGAGTTTAATAAGCAGAATTTTATCTGAAAAGCACTTATTTTCATCTTCCTTTTGTCAGAGATGTTTCCATGTAGACCTGTCTTCCCTGTAAACCTTCCTGGCTGTATCCTCTCCACCCCCATCCCCTCCCCTCCCCTTTGCGGTAATTAATTTGATGTCTATAGGGGATACTTGATACCTCCTTGTTCAAATGAGGTGTTCTGAATCCTGTTCTTGAACATTCTCTCTGCTTCCCTTCTGCCACTTTGAGCACCGTTCAGTGACAACGTTGTCCGGTTGGCTTGGCAGGTCTCAACGACTTCAGCTACCTTCACACAAACTGCTTTGAGCTGTCCATCTACGTGGGCTGTGATAAGTATCCACACGAGAGTGAGCTGCCCGAGGAGTGGGAGAATAATCGGGAATCCTTAATCGTGTTCATGGAGCAGGTGAGCGCACATTGCGGTGGAAGCTAGCAAAGAAATGGGGTTGATTAGGGGACTGAGAACCTGAGACCAGATTAGTGCTTCAGACCATGGCTGCCATGCTGGGCCGGCCCCACACAGTGTTGGAAGAACCACCATCTCTCTGTACTTGATCCAGCCCCACAAGTGAGCCATAAAGCCTGTGGTGGTTCACGCTGGGTCAGGGTGAGCATGACCAGATGCTGCCCTATGGGGACAGAGTGACATGTGTCTGAGCCAGCATGCCCAGTCCCCTTGTGCTGGCAGCTAGGGTTGCATAAAAACATAGACACCCAGGGGGGTGTAAGCAACAGAAATTACAGTTCTGGAGGCTGGAAGTGAACATCAAGGTGTCGGCAGCTTGGTTTCATTCCAAGGACCCCCCCCGTTGGCTGGCAGATGGCTGTCTCCTCCCCATGTCCTCACGTGGTCTTCCCCCCATGAACACACTCTCCTGGTGTCTCTGCGGGCCCACATTTCCTCTTATAAGGGTGTCAAGTTGGATCAGAGCTCACCCCGGGGGGTTTTTGGCTCACAGCCTTCTTCACTGTGCCCATCAGGCCGGGTGAGTCGTGAGCTCACCCCGTTTCTTGTCATGTTTGCTGGGCAGGTCCATCGCGGCATCAAAGGCGTGGTGAGGGACTTCCATGGAAAAGGAATTCCGAACGCCGTGATCTCTGTGGAAGGTGTCAATCATGACATCCGAACAGGTAACTGGGTGTAGATGATCTGTCTCTCGGGAGGGAACGTCTGTTTTTTCGAAACATTTCACTCTGGTTAAAATCACATGTCGAGTGCTGGAAACTTCTCACTGAGAGCTGAATGATCATCTCCTTCCTCAAATTCCCCATGGAGACCCTCGAAAGCAAGGTTCTCCGCCTGTGCTTCCTGGTTTCTCCCTTATTCAGATGAAAACCAGATGCCAGAGAGGTGAAAGGACCTGCTGGTGGTTTAGGAGGCAGGTGGGGCCTGGGTTTGGGTGTCTGACTCCCAGCCGGGGGGCATGCTCCTGCTCTCTCAGGGTTTCCCCACTGCTGTGAAACCCGTGTAGCTCTCCCCTGTGCCCAGGACTGTCATCACCTGGGACAGCGCTCTGTGTGTCCCGCGGGACGTGAGGAAATGGTGACCTTGACTGTGACAGGGGACGTGTGCAGCACGATGCAGTGACAGATGCACGGGGAAGAGAATTGGCTAGAGGCCTAAGGCTGGTTGTCTGCAGGAGTCCTGGTGGAGATGGTGTGTCCATGAGCCTGTTGACACCCCCACACAGAGGGTTTGGGCCACCCGGGAGACCCTGCGGAGCACCGTGTCAGAGCATGGGTGGGTGGCTTTGCTTTGGTGTCAGCTGCAGTGAGCAGGGCATGGGGCCCTGTGTTGGTTTCCAGTGGGCATTGTGACAAATGACCACACACCTAAAAAATAAGAAATGTATTCTTTCACAATTATGGTGGCCGGAGGTGTGAAATCCTGGTGTCAACGGGCTGAGCTCCCGCCGGAGCCCCCAGGGAGGACCCTCCCTTGGCTCTTGCAGCTTCCTTGGCCATGTCACTCCATTTCTGCCTCCATCTCTGTGGCCTCCTCCTGTGTCTCCTCCTCTCTGCCTCTTACAAGGACACCTGTCATGGATTTAGGGCCCGCCCAGGTCATACAGGGTGATCTCATGTGGAGATCCTTAGTTATACCTGCAAAGATCCTTTTCCCAAATAAGGGCACATTCCTAGGGTCTGGGTGGGAGGATGTGGGCTGCTGGGGGCCATCATTCAGCCTACTCCAGGGCCTTCCCTGGCACAGAGGACAGACTCAGCAGCAGGAGAAGGGAAGTCATGATTGCCAGGAGAAAGACCCGTTCAGCCCTCGGACACGCTTGAACAACTGGGATAAACAGTGTATGAGGCTGATTCAGGAAGCTTTTAATGTGGCCTGAGCTGAACCTGTTGGTTCAAGAGCTTACACTGTATGGGATGGCCAGTGATTCCGGGCTGGAGGGGGTTCCTAGGTTGTGTGACTTTCAGATTTAAAACGGGGACAATCCCAGAGAAACTGGGCCAAGTCCATCTTGCTCCTGTGTTCCCCATGTGTTATCACCTGTACAGCCTGTGACGGCTGGAATGATCTACAAGGTGCCGATGGGGAACAGAGATTCGGCCTTGGTTCTGCCCCAACCCCACTGTCAGCAAATAGATGCCGTATCTAGGCCCGCTCACCACCTCCTCGGCTGCTGGCTGGTCTCACCTGAGGCCCTGCCAGGGTCACTGCGGTCCCCTCCAGACAGGCTTCTCCTACGTCTGCCCTCGCAGCCTCGCAGACAGGGTGAGCTTGTTACCAGTTAAGTGGGTGATGTGTCCCTTTCTTGAACCCTGCAGGGGTACCCCAGAGTCCTTAGGGAACCCTCTCAGCCATACAGGATTGGGCTACTGGTGACTTCCTAAACCTCTTCTTCTGGGGTCACCAGCTCTCTCGGTTTGCCCAGGACTGCCCCCATTTAAAACTGAAAATCATGAGTCCCAGGTTTGGTCAAATAGGAATAATTTTCCCTCCATGCTTTCTACCTCTTCCTGCACCCCCGCCAGCTCCTTCCTTGAGGACTGAGGCTGCACTGAGGTGGTCAGGGGGTCCTCACTCTCCCACCTCCTACCACCTGAACCTCCTTCCCTTGAGAATCCCTTGGTTCCTTCCTCATCCCCTGTAGGTCTTTGCTCAGATGTCACTGTGTCAACAAGTCCCGCCATGGTGACCACCTTTCCTAGCATTGCACACCCGCCCCTACCACCTGCCGATTCCTTTCTGCCTCCTGCCTTCTCCCCTAGTGCCTCTGCATCTGACGTCTGACGCTGTGCCGGAGAAGCTAGGACCCACGAGACTTATGGTGTTTCTGCCCCTCCCCCACTGGCTCCTAGACCAGGGATCCTTGAGGCTTTTGTGCCTCAATGAAGTATAAGCACACTGCCTGGCACATAGTAGGTGCTTAATAAATGTTTGTTGAATGAACAAACAAATTTGAATGAATGAATGAACATGACATGGTGTTTCCGGGTTGCACAAAGAATGGCTGAGCTGGGATTTGAGCCAGGGGCCTCGGACTGCAAATGTGGTGCCCCTGCCCTTGCCCTCATGCTGATCCTCCTGAGGGGACAGGAGTCTCTTCTCCAGACTGTTCACATACATTAACAGATCCGATCCTCCCAACAAACGTTTCCATTTGACCTTGGAGGAAAAGGAGCCCCTGGGACCTTATGATGGGCTAGGCTGGGATTCAGACTCCAGTGCCAGACTGACCTGGCTGCCTGCGGACGTGCCTGGTACAGAAGGCCAATGGTCGTTTAAACGGGGGAAATGTAGCTGACGCGCCAGGAACTAGTAGACCGCTGTGTGATGCCCTGACTCGCCTTCATGTTTTCTGAATCTCCCTACCGCTTGTCCTTGGGGATCCTTGAGCTTTCACACTATGCAACATGGCATTCGGTACAGAGCCTCCCTTCACAGCATCCATGGATCCATGTGTTCATTCACTGACTCATTCATTCATTCATTCATTCATTCATTCAGCAAATGCAGATTCTGAACTGGTAATGGGCAGAATCTACGCAGGATGCTGGCGATCCTTATGAATAGAAGGGACTGCTGCATCTGGCTCCGCATAGGACTCGTATTTTAAGCATTACTAACAAGCTGCTGTAAAAGAATGATTCACAAAAGAGCCTAGAACATTCTTGGGACTATTAGTACTTTGTACACGCAATGCGAGAAAACAGGAAGGTTTTAAATGGGGTGGGAGAGAAAGAGTCCCCTGAGCCCCACAAGCCAGAAGAGAGTGCTGTGTGTGCCTAATGAGCTCTGAACCTCAAGCCTCTGTGATCACAGAGGCGGTTTGGATGAGCCCATAGGAGCCGCCTCCCCCCTCCCTTTATTTCTCCCCTAAGGTAATTTCCCAGTGTATTCTCGTAACTGATGAACTCCGTACTCTACACATGGTTACTTACTGTATTTGTTTCAGTGCTTGAAGTAGCTCTGAATTTGCCTTGATCTCTCTCCGAGGCTTCTGCAATGTGACAAGTTTTATTTCAGGAGGGATTTCGCATTAAATCAACAGGGGAATTGGATTCCAAGGAGTGAGAAGTTAGTAAGAGTGCTTTTTAAATGCATGTAAATATGTTGGCCAAACACCTGACTCAGAATGCTCCATGACTGCCCTATGTCTGGTGGACACTAACCTGCAAATGACTGGATGTTTGTCAGCACCTGGGTTGTCCCACTGACCACTATGCTGAGCAACACCAAGCTGTGAACTGTCTTCTCCCAGCAGCTCCACAGAACATTGACCCTTGAACCCAGACCAGATCACCCCATGGGATAGTCACCTAACATGCTGACCCCTGAATTTCATGAAGTAGATGATTCTAGACTTTACTGGTGGTCGGGGGAAGAAGCCGGGATTACAAGTAGAGCCTTGGTGATAAATGTGGGGAAATCCTAACCAAGGACTTTTGGGGGAGAGAGTGCTTGGCCAGGCAGATGAGAGCATTGGGCTCTCCAGGTTTCAGAAATGGAGACTTGCAGAGTCCAGAGCTTACACCCCTTCTTCAGATTCTGTGAACCTAAACGAATTCCTGATGGTTTTCATTCATCTTATTGTGCACCTACTGTGTGCTGGCCTAGAGATACTGTGGCAAACAAGACGGATATGGCCCCTCACCTCAAAGAGTATGCATTCTAGTGGGAGAGACCTATAAGTAATTATAAAGGGAAATCTAAAAGTTAATTGCAGGCTATGGTGAAGGCCAAGGAAGAAAGTATTTGAATAGTATATAGAAACTATTGGGAAAGCCAAGGAAGCTTCCCTCTCTGAAGGGTGAATTGCATCGTGAGGCTCAGGCCATCTTGATTCCCCGACAGAGAATACTTGGCGGGCTCTTGCCTTCTGAAAAGCATGAGATGGCATTTCATTTCATTGAAAAACTCGGATTTTTACCAAAGGGAAGACTCAGGGCGCAGCGCCCAGGAACTCTGAGCCAGCCACCTGCGTGGTGGGTACCCCGACCTCCCACACTGAGTCCTGTTCACCGGTAAGCAGGCCACAAGGATGTATGGCAGACAGCTGCCTACAGAGTTCATTTTTCACAACATGTTGTGTTCTTGTGAGCTCACTCAATTGCATGGAAATGTCTCGGGTGAATCAAGATGGTGATTTAGACCTGGTGCTTCAAAGTGTCATATGTGTGTTTGTGGGAGATATATATTCACGCACACACACACACACACACACACACACACACAATCTCTCCCATCTCTTAGAAGACTTGAGGGCCTGTGTAGACAAATGACCCTTGCCCAGGGCCTCCTTACACCTTTCTTCTTTTTTTTTCTGGCACCAAAGCTTTAGACCAGGTGGGACACTGAGATTGCCATGAGAGAGAGACCCAGACCTGGCCCTGGGAGACCTGCTGGCTACTAGCTGTGTGACCTCGTGCAGGACGTTTACACACCCCAACCCCCAGCCCCTGGGCATCAAATCACTCATAGGAAGGCAATCATTATACAACCCACATCAGAGGTTTGCTTGGAGGTTCATCAGATCAGTATCTGCCCCAACCTTCCGGGTGCCACGTCCTCCATGGGGTTCGCTGGTCACCCCTTTTTTGCCTCAAAGGCTCATTTAAGATCAGAGGTCTAAGTGTCCTTAGCAGGTTGTAGGCTTCTGGGGAGGAGAGCCTTGCGTGGAACCTCTCAACACAACAGAGATCTAGCCTAGAGCAAAGGATGGACACGGGGCCCATGATGTACTTGTTGGGTGGCTGACCAGCAGGGTCACTGGGGAGGCGGGGGCTCAGCCTCGCACCACCAGCATGTCTGTGCTCCGGCAACTTCGCATTTCTCTTGGCCGCAGGGCCAGGGAATGCAGATACCAGGCCTCCTCCTGGGCCATTTGGCCCTGGTCCCCCATAGTCTACTATTTCTCTTTTCAGAAGTCAAGAGCCCCACCCCTGAAAAGAATTACTATTCTGTATTTATAGCCGTGCAAAGAGGAGGCCAGGAAGCCAGGCACTGATGGCTTTTCAAGATGGCATTTTGTGGTGAGGGCACAGCATTTGGAAGCTCAAGTTCATAATGAATGGCGTGTATTGTCACAGAGGAAGGCGCGTGAGTGATCATTTCTCCATCTCCACTCATGTGTGTTAACACTGCGGGGAGCCTACACCCGGGCCCTCTGCCTGTTAAAACCATTAAGGTGGCTTCCACAGAGGAAAACATTCAAAATGCATTAAGAATTTGCAAAAAAAAAAAAAAAAAAGTTGCCTCTGCAGAGGCTCAAATTCCATACGGCCAGCCTCTGAGTCTCTCTCTGGCCAGGATGCTGGTCAAGGACTAGCAGCAGGTCTGGTGGTATCTGCCTTGGAAGAGGACCGCTCTGAGCTCCCCTACTTTCTCTTGACAGCCAGCGATGGGGATTACTGGCGCCTCCTGAACCCCGGGGAGTATGTGGTCACGGCCAAGGCGGAAGGGTTCACCTCGTCCACCAAGAACTGCATGGTCGGCTACGACATGGGGGCCACACACTGTGACTTCACACTCAGCAAAACCAACCTGGCCAGGATCCGGGAGATCATGGAAAAGTTCGGGAAGCAGCCCATCAGCCTGCCAGCCAGGCGACTGAAGCTGCGAGGGCGGAAGAGACGACAGCGCGGGTGACCTCCCCACACTGGACACCTGCCCTGCACCCCTGCAGATTAAACCACCCCCAGTCGTAACTCCATAGAGGACTCGCCCCCTGTAGTTTTCTCTGTAGCTCAGAAAGCCTGAGAGAATGTGTTCGTTGCAAGGCTGGTCCCGAAGGGAGGGCTGAAAGCTTAGGATATACATATATATATTTTGTCTTTGTTGCATTTATCCAAATAACTTGGACAGATCAGCAGAGAAAGGCTGGTTAGGAGTGAGAATTGAGCAACTCAGCCTGGGAAATCGGAGGCGGAGAGCGGGCTTGCCGGCTCAGGGCCTCCAGGCTGCACAGGAGGGGAAGCCAGTGCTCCCCCCTCTTGCTTGCGTGACAGCAAGAGCTCCTGGTGCATTTGCATTTTGTGTGGCTCCGATTGCAGCACTTCCCGGGCCCTGCGGTCCCAAAAGTTACCATTTGAGATGCTCGTGGGCCTTCCCCTCGCTGGCCCCGGGACATTCTGAGCTGCTCCAGATTCATTCCACACTCTGTGGACAATAGAGGCATTAGCAAGTGAGCATCAGTGAGCCCCTTGAATCAGTTTAGTTTCCCTTTCCACAAAGGACTGTGTTTATAAAAGGAGAAAAGTGCTGAATGCTGAACTAGATCACCAGTGGTCGGTGGGCAGTGGAGTGCAGTGGTGCTCATTCATTGCCTACATGCAGAGTTCACAGAGAAGCCCCAGGCTCCCTGCTGGTCCAGCAGCACCCCCAGCCCTGGGTGCTGAGGCAGAGGAACGCTGGAGGAGCCGCCCTTCCAAAGGGAGTCGATCCTTCAGCCTCTTTGACCTGCAAGAACTTAAGGAGGGCCAGGAGGAGGCTGACTTGCCACTCTCTCTCTGCTCAAGACGTTCCTCCTTTCATGGAAATGAGCACTCATAAGTTGGCGTAGCATCACCAAGGGAGTTATTTTTGATGTGTGGAATGCCAGACCTTCAGATGGGGCCAAATGTGATGAAAAGCTCTTAGAATTATCTGTGGAATATTGGTTTGGGCAGGGTAATTGGATGACCCTATAAGAAAACAGATTGTCTTCTTTTTATTACTGTTGCCACCCGGGCAGAGGTGGCCCTGGGGAGAGTGAGAAAAATAAAACAAGCAAATGGTGAGATCCTTCCAGCGTGTGGTTTTCCTGGGCAGATGCGCAGCCACCCAAACACCATGCCCCACTGCCTCTCCCTGGGGTCAGTGCCTCCAGAGGCGGTGCCTGCCTGGGGAGGGGTGTCCTGTGCCCTCCTCCACCCCACCCACCCCCCAAGCTTGGTACTGGTTCTGACAGCTGTGTGTTCCCTGCTCCCCTCCCAGGAGAGCCACATGCCTGGGTAAAGTCATCCTGACGCTTGGGATCCACTAATGACTGCCAGGGATGCCAGCGAGCATCTTTCCAGAAAGGAGCCTTATGCAACTCTCTGACAGTCTACACCGGAGATTGCAAACGTTCCTTATAAAGGACCAGATGGTAAATATTTCAGGCTCTGCGGCCAGTTTCTGTTGCAAGTACTCAACTCTGCTGTGGTAGCACAAAAGCAGATCTGCATTATGCACAGAGGAGCAAGCATGGCTATATTTCAATAAAACTTTATTTACAAAAGCACATAGTAGTTAGATGTCAACCCCCAGGCTGGGGCATGACTAGCTGACCCCTGCTCCAAATCAGCGCCATGCGATAGAACTTTCTGTGTTGATGGAGATGTTCTCTTCCCGCGCGAGCTAACACAGTAGTCACTAGCCACGTGTGGGTAGCGAGCACTTGAAATGTGGCTTGTGCAACTTGGGACGGAATTTCTGGTGTTATATCATTTCCACCCATTTAGATTTCACTTGTAACAGCCATATGAGCTCGTGCAGCTCTCCATCCAGCCCACGGTAGGAAGAACTTAGGTGGCGTCACCAGTTGGGGTAGGTGGTGATGCGGATAAAGCCCTTGAGGTGATGAACCTTCGGAAGAGCCATAGCCGTTCCCAGTGCCTCAGCAGACCCGATTTGTCAGGGCCCCGTGGTGCCAAGATGACTCAGTCTAACTGCCGGTGACTAGCGCTGTCCCCTTCGGGCTGTTGGTGACACGCTCTGCCGTCTGCAGGCCTGCTGTCAGCCCTGGCCCCCGATAGGCGTCTTGGGCTTGCAGGCCAGGGCTATGGGCTCTCGGCCTGTGCCCTCCCCACCCCGGTGTGTGGCCTGGGCCCTGGTGGCCTCTCTACCATCCCATCTGTTCCTGCAGAGGGAATCGTGGGGCCCAAAGGCCAGTCTGGCTGTGGTGTCCACTGATTTCTGGTGGAGAACTGACACTGGATTCCTCAAGCCTCGAACACCTTTCCCGACCTAGTTCCCAGAGCTTGTGACTTTCCCTGCTTTCAGCCAGAATGAACTCCTCCTGGACCTCACCCACTGCCTCTGCATGTGACTCCCCAGGCTGAAAACCCTTCTGCTTCTCTCTCTCTGTCTCTCTGTCTCTGTCTCTGTCTCTCTCTCTCGATCTCTCTCTCTCTCCACCCATCTGAAATGCCGTCTCCTGCAGAAAGCCTCCCCCTTCCTGCCCTGGACATGTTTGAGCAGCTCTGCAGAGCCCTCAGGGCCTCTCCAAGGGACAGCTACCCCGTCCCTTTCCACTGAAGCTTTTCTTGCTTCTGGTTCTCTCTGCCTTTGGACTGGAAACTCCCCAAGGGCAAGAACGATGCCCCCCTTAGTACCTGCTCCCCCGGGACTGGCTTGGCTCCCAACTCACAGCAGGTGCTCCACGAGCACACATGGAATTGAACTGGCCTTGTGCCATGTGGTGCTTTGCTCTTAGGATTCCCTTATAAGCCATGAACACGGGAATTCAGAAATTGAAAATGCACAACTTGAACTTCACATCTTTATCTCGTCAATAAAGTCTGATGTTTGGCTGAGCAGAGAAATATGTCTAAAAACTGCATAGGTTTTGCTTTCTATCTGGATGTTTTTCTACAGCACAAAATCTACACAAAAGCCCTGCTTCTGGCAGAGAATCCTCAGTCTGCGTATCCTGGTCCTTCTGCTCAAGGCCCGGGGTGAGCGAGCCACAGCCACACTGCTACCTGTGCTTTGTGTTGATGGGCATTTAAGGAGCTGCCCCAAATCTTCCTCTTCAGCCATCACAGCTCATTTTCTGTGCCCATAATGGGAAACCTCAGGACTCCTTCAAGTCTCTGTGTAACAAAGACCTCAGGAACAACTCTAGAAGGGTGTTGTGCTGTTAATGTATAAAGTAGTAAGGATGCTGCTTTCGGTGGCCGGGCCCAGAAAGCATCTCCAGTTTGCAGCTTCTGAATTGGCTCTGGTGGTCACCACCCTGCCTGGAGGAGCTCAAATTCCCATGCCGCTCTGCATTGGCATCCTCAGGCCAGCGGTTGGGGTCACTGCCACCCACAAAGCCACACTCAGAGACTGGTCCGCCCCAGCCTGATTCTGCAGCTGAGCTCTGAGGACCAGGACAACCTCTCCCGAGGCCATGGGAGCTTTTCCTCCTGCCTGTCTATCCCCTGCCATGTAAACACAGCCCCAACTTCCCAGCTAAGGCACGAGGAGTCCAGGGACAATTAGACAAAGGGAATGAGGGACAAACATAAGAGATACAGAGGAGAATGGCAGGTCTTTAGAGCTGAGGGATACTCGAGATGAACATGCCCAAGGGCAGCAACCAGGTTTCCTCTTGTAAGCCAACTCTGATTTACTGGTACTAGCTGCTTGCTTGGAGCTCTGTGTTAAGAAGGATTCTGAGGCAGAGTCCTGGCTCAGCGGGGTAAAATGGTGCAGCTTCTCTGGATGTGGGAAGGGCTGACAGCCCTGTACATTTCCATCTCCAAACTAGTCTAGTCCCCCCGAGTTTAGAGATAGGAAAACTGAGGTCATGGGGAGAGGCCTCAGGTGTCCAGAGCTGTGTTTCAGTCTATGGCAGAGGCAGGACTCAGGGCAATGCTCCTTCCTCTGTCCCAGTAGAAAACTCTAGTTTGGTCCTGAGCAGCCAGCCCTGAGGCTGTGTCTCTTGGCTGACTTTTTAGGAGCAGGTCAAGCTCCTGGGCAGGGATGGAAGCCCTGGGAGCCACAGGTGCATTTCAGAAATCAGAAGACTAAAGTTCAGAGTCCATTAGATCAGCTTGCCTGGGAGACCGTTGGCGAGGAGCTCAGGAAATGTGTGCTAAGGGCCTGAGTGTGTCCCTGGGCCTGCTTCTGTAGGCTTTTTTTTTTTTTTAACATCATAGCTCCCTGTCCACTTCAGATGACCTAACAGCTAGACAACGTTCCAGCTCCCCTGCCCCATTGTGCGATTTGGTTGGTGACGCTCATCAGGTTGCCGCTTCCGTGCCCTTGGCAACCAGGCCAGGTTTCTGAGCAGCCGCAGGTCAGCACCACGCTGGTGTTCCTTGGCATCTCTCAGGAGAGCAGCCCCACAGAGGAGGGGGCAGGGATGCCACTTGCATCCATTAGCGCCTCAGATAATGGGCCCTGTCTACTCCCCATCTGTTTGTTGACACTGCAGGAGGGCCTCCTGGAGCCTCCTCCAGCCTGCCCCTCGAGCAAGGCTGAGGGTGAAGATGAGCTGAGCCATCTGTCTGCTACTGGCCATCAGCTCCACTTGACTCAGCTCCAGGCTGCTGCAGAGCAAAGTGTGCAAGAGTCTCGTCTTTGGAGTCAAGAAGGCTGAGTGGCAGTCCCAGCCCTGCCTCTTACTCTGTGCACAGCCTTATAACCCCTGAGTCTCAGTCTTCTCATCTGCAGAGTGGGTATCATAGTGGGCTTGAACACACATCTGTGGTGAGGATCGCCATCGGGAGTGTTTAGGCTGGCTCCTGGCACACTGCCAGCACCAAGATGCAGAGAAGAAGCCAGATATTTAGTTTTGGGTACTGTGTTCCCCACATGAGCATTAGGGCTTCTCATTTCACAGCTGCATTAGAGCTAAATATGATTTATTTTTCAAATGAGGCCTAGGACATGCATAGAAACACGTGACGCCCGATCATCTACTTTGATTATTTTATTTTATTTTATTTTATTTTATTTTATTTTATTTATTTATGATAGTCACACACACAGAGAGAGAGAGAGAGAGAGAGAGAGAGAGAGAGGCAGAGACATAGGCAGAGGGAGAAGCAGGCTCCATGCACCGGGAGCCTGACGTGGGATTTGATCCCGGGTCTCCAGGATCGCGTCCTGGGCCAAAGGCAGGCGCTAAACCTCTGCGCCACCCAGGGATCCCTACTTTGATTTTTTTAAGTTTATCACTATGATGGAAGCTACCGTCTTGATCTACTCCTTAATCTGCTGTTGTGACCTGCACCAACTGAGCAGTGAGCAAGGGATGAACCAAGGAGACAGATGACCCCAGAGCCACCAAAGTGACCTCCTGGTCGTGCGGGGAGCACTGACCACACAGAATGGCTTTCAAAGTGAATTTTCACGGAAAGTTGTGACTCCTGGCAGGCCCTGCCTCAAAGGCTGCTGTCCTGTGGGTGTCGTCTCCTTCCAGCTCTGGCAAGTCCAGAACCTCTAGGACATCAGGATCCAGCTCTGCGTCTCCGCCAGTTCACATAAAACACACTGCACAGGGCCTGGGGGATTCGCCGGGGCAAGAGGAGGAAGAGGGAGTCTCCCTGGCACCCCAAGGCCGGTGGAGGAAGGAAGGAGCCCAGCAGTCACTGCATCTCCTGGGGGGCAGTGGGAGCCAGAGGGGAGGGAATGGACTGAGATTCCATCCCAGGGCCGCCTCTTACCATCTGGGTGATGTTGAGCAAGTAGCCTCATCCCTGAGATGGGTTCAGTGATCCCTGTCTCTCGGGGTTGTTGTGGAGACTCTGTCAGTGCTAACAGACTTACAATGCTTGGAACTTTCAGCATCGAAAAGATCTAGAAATAAAAATGGGCCATCTTTAGAGCAAAGTATAGCCACTTCAGAAAACAGTCTGGCAGTTTCTTGAAATGTTCAACATGGAGTTACCACATGATCTGGCCATCCTACTCCTAGGTCCACGTCCAAGAAAAGTGAAAACATAGGTCCGCACAGAACTTGTCTGGGAGTGTTCACAGCAGCACTCTTCGTAGTAGACAAAAAGGCGAAGACAATCCAAATGTCCATCCACCTACCAACGGG